TTATGTAGTGGTAGGAGGAGGAGGAGGAGGAGGAGGATTTGGTGAACAAAAGTTTGACTATATTATCGCAAGCAAATCACCCAGATCAACTTTGACATCATTAATTCGAGGCCAGTTGAGTGCTAAAAATGAAAATAAGCATGCTAATATATTCTTTTTCTCATGAAAATGAAAATGAAAATGAAAATGAATGTAAGGTGTTTTGACTTGCAGGTAGCCTGAGTGGTTTTAGGTCCAAGAGGATGAAGAGAGAGAGAGAGAGGGATAGGGACTTGTTGTGTTAGTTTGTGATGATGAGCTCAGGAAGCTCTTTTTGGCTCCAAATTTCAGACCCACTTGTCGTATACCATATCCAAAGAATCAAAGACGTATGCAGCCTGCAGGCCAATGTATACCTATAATTATAAATGTATATTATATTATATAGAAAATAGAGTTAGAAAGGTCACAAGAGCAGCAATGCAACCCCACATATATCTAGATCTATATTTTCGCATCTGTACAAAGCTTGTTGTATCTTTCCTGTTTGGACATCGGAGGACCACACACTCACACACTCGACTTGATCACGTTAATTCAGTCAAATAGAGGCTGCATTCGCTCGCTTAGCTTCAAACAAACAAAAATTAAACTTGTATTAGTATTTTGCACACAACAGCCTGCCTGCAGCCTTAATTTCAACGACTCATGATTAACGAGAGTTTATGTATATTAGAGTCATCACTATACATAGAAGTCCATTTCTCTATTTTTTAAGAAGTGAATACGGAGCATAATTGTAGTCGATTGAGTGTTTTCAACTCGTCCCGAATTTTAGTGTCTAGAGAGGGAGCCCAAAGAAGATTAGTGTATAGTCGACTGGAGCTCAAGCGGCTTATAGGCTAGCTCATCAAGTACAATTAATTATAAGTGTCTAAAAGAGCGAGACAGAGAGAGTCTTGTGATGCATTTATGATGGTGTTCTAGGCCATTAACCAAGCACTGATCATCTAGGTTTCAATTGTCTTGTAGGACCAGCTAGCTAGCTGTTCTCTCTCTTCTCTCTAAAATCTGGACACATATGCCCGCACAGGGGGAGAGAGAGAGAGAGAGAGAGAGAGAGAGAGCTGGTCCACCATAGCTGGCCAAGTTGCAGTAGTTGTGTAGTAATGTAGCAAGCAACATATACATCATCAGAGTGGAAGTGGCCACACGCATTGCAGGCTACTAGCATAATTGAAGGCTTCAATATCTGCACCTGCAGCAGCTGAGAGATATATATAGAAAAGAAAACTATACTCTCAATCCACAGGCGGGCCTTTTGCAAGGCTCAATGGCAATATTATTGCATAGCTTTATGGGAATTTTGTGCTTAGCACTAGCTACTGTAGTTGCAACAATGGCAGTGCCAAAGCAGCAAGAGCTAGATCGAATCTCAGCACTACCCGGACAACCACCAGTGTCTTTCTCGCAGTTTTCTGGTTATGTGACGGTCAACGAGCATCAAGGCCGAGCTCTCTTTTACTGGTTGACTGAAGCTGCTGCTACTGTTTCTCCTCACAACAAACCCCTCGTTCTTTGGCTCAACGGAGGTCAGTTTAATAAATTATTTATTTAATTCCTATCTTCAATATCTATCTATCTTTAGATCTCTGACTTCCTAATTAATTAATTACCACGAGTGAATTACTCACATTGTATATCTATCATTTTCTTAATTTTATTTATTTATTTATTTATATTTGTACTGGAAAATTTAACGAACTGTCAGTCTATCAACTCCTCATTAAAGCATTTAGTATTGCGTTTTCTTCTCCGTATCTGCGCATGCCGCAGACTTCCGTGCTTAAGAAACCAGAAAAGGAGGTCTTGTTGTGTAGTTAATTTATTAGAGCATAAATTGTGTCACTATTGAGTGTTATACTTATATGGGTTGGTCATTGATGCCAAAATAATGAGCAAACTATTTTTGCTTCTTAATAAATGACTGGCGACTCATAAATTTAAAGTCCACCTGCTCTCACACGTGTTGCCACAAAACAAACAACAGCCTTCCCCTTACAACCAAGTTCTAATTAATAGGCTCATAAGTTTTTTTACTCGTGTGAATCAGGAATAATGCAGTCAATCACGACATGCCATTCGTAATAACTTTTTCATTTAGCAATCTATAATTAATTGGGGATAGCCCCGTTTCACACAAACGTTTTTGGAGAGCCATAGCTAGAGCGATACCAAATGGGTAGCTATCTCATCCATTACATGAGACAGAGCATCGCATTCGCATGCACCAAAAGAAAAATCCACACCATACCCACATGGGTCCTTGTGATCTCTCTCTGTCTCTATCCTTTTTAGGGTTTTATTCCTTTTCAAACTGACCTTCATTCTCTCTTTGAAATAGTCCCATGGCCAGTAACTCAAAAAGCCTCTGCCTATGCAATCTTTTGTCACTTTTCGTTCTTTGTCGTTCGTGTATAGTTGTTTGGGTAAGCACCATACACCAAACGCCGCAACAAACCAAAGTGAACCAACCAACTTTTCCACTTAAACTCTACACACTAGTCGAATTCCTGATTGTCCATGTGAGAAAGAAATGCATCTCTGTCTGACTCACTGTCTCTCTATCTTTCACGCGTGCTTATGTCATGAGAAAGTGGCGACGACTAATTATAATGATATGTGGTGGTGGTGTTATTGAGTTCTGCTGTTCTCAAACTTGGGTTTAATTTAAATAATACAGGCTCAAATTTAAATTGAAAAATAGTTAGTAAGTTGGATTAGCAAAGTATTGAAAATTAAATTGTTTTGAAATATCAATCATCAATCATATACTTGCCGTTCAGGACCAGGTTGCTCATCAGTGGCATATGGAGCATCAGAGGAACTTGGTCCATTTCGGATTAATACGACCGGCTCATCTCTTTATCTCAACAAGTATTCATGGAACAGAGGTACATACATGAGATACCCTGTTTCTCTTTTCTTTCCTTTTCTTGTGTTGTGGGCAAATGCTCTCTTCTCTAAATCAACCATACTCTGTTTCTTTGTGTTGTATGACGTATATATCACATACTTATACGTCAAGGAGGGAAGTATTTTCTTTGGTTGCCTCCTTTTTGTGAGTTTGGCACGTGATAAGGAGGGAAGTATTTTCCGACTTATTTTACCACTTTTGTATAAATTTCCATTGTTGTCATTGCAGAAGCGAATATTCTGTTTCTTGAATCACCTGCTGGTGTCGGTTTCTCATATACAAATACAAGCAGTAACCTTAAAGATTCTGGGGACAAAAGAACAGGTAAAAAGAATCACAACATCACCGTTAATTACCCTATAATCAATTCAATATATACATTATATTTTAAATATCTGAATCATCACCTTCTTCTGCCATACATACTTTTGATACACAGCTCAGGATGCTCTAATATTTCTACTTAAGTGGCTGTCAAGGTTTCCTCAATACAAATATAGAGAATTCTACATTGCTGGGGAGAGCTATGCAGGTGAACAATGGAAGGGAAAGGGAATTCTTTCTTTACATCACCAATGTTAAATCCCCATTTCATTTTGTACAAAACTACAAAGCTATAATTTACAACTTGACTAGTTTTACATGTACAGGCCATTATGTTCCTCAGTTGGCTAGGGAAATTGTCACTTACAACCAAGGGAATTCCCATTCCAGCATTAATCTCAAGGGGATTATTGTAAGTTGACAACTAGAACACTAAAGAAAATTCCAACTTTTAATCACAACTAGAATAATTATAATTTAATTCTGTGATCATAATTTGAGCTTTTTTCATTCGCAACAACTGTGCAGGTGGGTAACGCTGTAACGGATAATTACTATGATAGCATGGGAACTGTCACGTTTTGGTGGAGCCATGCCATGATATCGGATCACACGTACCGATCAATCCTCAACCATTGCAATTTCACAGCAGAAAGAACATCACAGCAATGTGATGATGCAGTAAATTATGCCATGAACCATGATTTTGGAGATATTGATCAGTACAGCATTTATACACCATTTTGCTTGACAATGCTCAACAACACCAACAGGCATCTGAGGCTCAAAAACACTCTTCTTCGCCGGCGTGTTTCCGGGTACGATCCATGCACTGAGAATTATGCAGAGAAATACTATAACCGGCCGGATGTGCAGAAGGCAATGCATGCAAACATTACTCGAATTCCTTACAAGTGGACTGCTTGCAGGTTTTTAAGTTCCCATTCCAATCCCAGTATGAAAAGTTGTTAAGAGCATCTGTCTGTCTGATACAAATTTTCTAATTAAATTTTGTTCGGGGGGCAGTGATGTTCTTATCAAGAATTGGAAGGATTCTGAAGATTCCATGCTGCCAACATACAAGCAGCTTATTAAAGCTGGTCTGAAAATCTGGGTTTTCAGGTAACTCTCAACTTCTTTGTATTCTCAATCAATTGCTTGCATAACAAGAGGAATAATATTTCTTAATTAATGAAGAAACAGAAATAGCAATTTATGCAATTGATTGTTTTTACCTTTTCATGCAGCGGGGACACAGATTCAGTCGTTCCAGTGACCGCCACTCGGTTTGCCCTCAATCATCTCAACCTTACTATCAAAACCCCGTGGTATCCTTGGTACACTGGAGGCCAGGTATTTTCAGCCATTTTACCCCATCAACTATCACACTAATCGAACTTAATCCCATGAATTACTTAAACAATGACTTAGCAACATCCTCAACAATTTTTACAATCACATTCTATTCTATTGCGCAGATTAAATTGTCAATAAAGGTCTTTTTTTTTTCATAGGTAGGAGGATGGACAGAAGTGTACGATGGCTTGACCTTTGCAACTGTACGAGGAGCCGGACATGAGGTTCCCCTGTTTCAGCCTAACAGAGCTTTCATTATTTTCAAATCATTTTTAGCAGGAAAAAAGTTGCCAAAACGTAACTGACAACTTAACCAGAAATACGCATGCATATATTTGCCAAGTTCCCACACCACACAAACAAATCAAGGGTGATGATCAGGGGGCAGCTAGATTAGGAAGCATTCATTCAAATTAGGGAGCATTCGTATTTTGATGGCAATGTAATTCATTTAACATCATGATATTTTGAACATGCTGCTGTTATATTACTTCTAAGTTCTACAATGCAAAGCATAATAAAATCAAAGGTATTTTTTGGACAGCAACATGCATATCAGATTCTTAGTACTATACTTCAAGAATCCATTTTCATGTTGCCCATTGTTTGCATTTTGCCACAGCTCAGGTGAAAGTGAAACTTATGAACAACAGTTAAACAGATCACCGTATTTTATCCTCCTCAGTCTCTATTTTTTTTTTTTTTTTACTATAGAGGTGAGAGGAAGACAAACATCAGGTTGTTTAGTAAACAGCCAGCACAAAGGCCACAGATTCTAATGCTTCACTTTAATTAGAATTTCATATGACGATAAACGAGCCTTTGTGAACAAAATTGTCCATCTTACACAACTTACTAGTATACATATAAGTAACATCACTTAGATTCCTCACT